CCATGTAGCTGTCTTCTAAATTTCTTGGCATAGACGAGTGAGCACTTTCAGGGCTGCATCCTTTTGTTGAAATATTGCAATTGGTATTCTGTCAATTCCTGGAGGCTTGTTTTTTGCCAATACCTTCAGCGCAGCTTGAACTTCTTCCTTCAGTACTATACACATCAAAATTTTGAAAACAACTCAATTTCAAATACTCTATCTTGCAGTTTCCAAAGGGACACACAGTAGAAAACATCATTTGGGTTATTGGCAGCTCATTGATTCCTTCCTTCTCTGAGAACTCCCTCCACTTCCATTGCTAGGGCCATGGGCAGCCAATTTGTATCCCAGCCATACCTGATTGGACCAGGAACAGACACCTGGTTCAATCTGAGCCTAATCAGATTCTCCCTCTCCTGGGAATTTGGGATTGGAATTGATTCAAGACAGTCTCTCTGTGTGGCCCTTGGTACTTCACAAGCTCAGGAGTAGGGGGCAGCCATCTCCCACCAGCCAGGGCTGATCTTCAGAGACAGAAGAACAAAACCTCTGTGTAGAGAGAAATAGGAACCAGAAATGGCTCCTTATTTCAGTCCTTCCCTGAAACATGGGGCAGTTTACCCCTGGAGTCCAAGAAACACCCTTCGATTCTGATCATAAATCCTCCTCCACGCTAAGGCATCCCAAATGGCTTTCTCTTGAAACCAGTGTCTTTAGATAAAAGACCACGGGTCACCAAATTGAGTTCAGAAGTCAGTCCTTCAAAGGAATTGAAAGCAGGGATTCAAACAGATACTTGTACACTAATGTTCACAGTGTGATGTCACTGGGTGATGGAAAAGGTTAACACGCTCCGTAGCTAACTGCAAGTTTGTTCAAGTCCACGCAGAGACACCTCAGATGAAAGGCCTAGCTATCTACTGAAAAATCCAGCCACTGAAAACCCTACGGACAGCCCAGTTCCACTCTGACACACACAGGGTTGCCATGAGTTGCTGTCAACTCAACAGCAACTGGTTAATGCTCATTGCAGCATTTTTCACAATAGCCAAAAGGTGGAAACAATCCAAGTGTCTATCACCTGATGAATGGATAAACAAAATGTGGTCTATCCATACCATGGAATATTATTCAGCCATAAAGAGAAACAAAGTTCTGATCCATGCTACAACATGGATGAACCTTAAAAACATTATACTAAGTGAAAGAAGCCAGACACAAAAGGACAAATATTGCATAATTCCGCTCATAGGAAATATCTAGAATAGGCAAATACATAGAGACAGAAAGTAGATTAGAGGTGACCAGAGGTTGGGGGCAGGTCGGATAGGGAGTTATTTCTTAATGGGCACTGAGATTTTGTTTGGAGTGATGGAAAT